AAGGATGGAGACTCCACAACCACTCTGGGAAACCTATTCCAGTGTTTAATCATCCATAGAGTAAAAAAGTTTCTTCTTATGTTTGAACGAAATTTCTTGTATTTCAGTTTGTGCCTGTTGCCTCTTGTCCTTTTCCTCAGCACCACTGAGAAGCGTCTGTCTCTATCTTCTTTAATTCCCTCATCTTCTTTACTTCCCCCATCAGGTATTGCTACACATTGATAAGGTACACCTGAGCCTTCTCTTCACTAGGCTGAACAGTCCCAGCTCTCTCAGCTTCTTCTCTTATGACAGATGCTTCAGTCTGTTAATTGTCTTCATGGTCCTTTTCTGCACTCACCCTAGTATGTTCATGTCTCTCTCATACTGGGGAGCCCAGCACTGGACCCAGCGCTCCAGACGTCTCTCCAGTGCTGAGCAGAGGAAGGATCACCTCCCTGGACCTGCTGGTGATGCTCTTCCTAATGCAGACAAGGATACTGCTGGCCTTTTTTGTCACAAGGGCGCATTGCTGGCTCATGTTTAACCTGCTGCCCACCAAGACCCCCAGGTCCTTCTCTGTAAAGCTGCTTTCCAGCCGGTCATACCCAGCCTTTTCTGGTGCATGGGATTATTCCTCCCCAGGTGCGGGATTTGGCATTTCCCTGTGCTGAACTTCTTGAGGTTTCTGTGGGTCGTTTCTCCAGCCCGGGTCCCTCTGAACGATAGCGCAATCCTCTGGTGTTTGAGCCACTCGTCCCAGTTTTGTATCATCTACAAGCTTGCAGAGGGTGCAGTCTACGCATCACTTGGTTCAGTAATGAAGGTGTTACACAACATTGTCCCCAGTATTGACCTCTATTAATAATAATAGAGGTGTAATAGTACACCACTATTGAGTGGCCTCCAGCTGGACTTCATGTCACTGATCACAACACCATGATACCAGCAGTTCTGCAGGTTTCAGTCCACCTCACTGTTCATTTATTTAGCCTGTACTTCATCAGCTTGTCTGTGAGAATGTTATGAGAGACTGCCAGAGGCCTTACTGAGGTGAAGATAAACAACGTCCAGAAGCAGATGAGTGAGAAGCTCCATTCATCCACCAAGCCAGTCACATCCTTGTAGAAGGCTAACAGGTTGGTCAGACATGATTCTCCCTTTGTAAATCCATGTTGACTACTCTCAATCACCTTCCTGTCCTTGAGATGTTTGTAAATGGTTTCCAAGATTAATTGCTCCATCACCTTCCCACCAGTGTGTAGTTCCCTGGATTCTCTTTCTTGCCATTCTTGAAGAGTGACATTTGCTTTCTTCAAGTCCTCAGAAATCTTCCCTGAACACCATGACCTTTCAAAGATAACTGAGACCGGCTTTGCATTGACAACATTGAGCCTCCTCAGTACTCATGGGTGGACCCCATCAGGTCCCATGGACTTGTGTATCTCCCGTCTGTTTAAATGGTCCCTAACCTGATCCTCCTTCAGCAAGGGTAAATTTTTCTTGCCCCAGATTTTCCTACTGGTCTCCGTTGAAGACCAAGGCAAAGAAGGCATTGAGTAGTTTGGCCTTTACCATGTATTTTGTCACCAGGTCGCCTGCCTCATTCAGTAGCGTGCCCATTTTTTTCCTAATCTCACTTTTGCTGCTAATACACCTTCACAGGTGCCCTTCACAGGCTGTTGCCCTTCACAGCCCTCACTGAATTGAACTTCAGGTGGGCTTTGGCTTTCCTAATCCCATCCCTCCATGCTCATATAATTTCTCTGTTTTCCTCCCTGGTGACTTGCCCCTGGCTGCACTTCTTGTACACTTCCTTTGGATGTCTGATTTGTATCAGAAACTCCTTGTTCATTCGTGCAGGCCTCCTGCTGCCTTTGCTTGATTTCCTGCTTGTTGGGATGAACTGTTCTTAAGCTTGGAGGAGGCGATCCTTGAATATCAACCAGCTCTCCTGGACTCCAGTGCTTTCCAAGACTATCCCAGGGGATTCTTCCAAGCACATCCCTGAATAGGCCAAAGTCTCCTTTCCAGAAGTCCAGGGTTGGGATCCTGCTTTTTTCCCTGCTCTCTCCTCTCCAGATCCTGAACTCCACCATCTCATTAGCAGGGGTAAGGGTGCCCCTGACCTTCACATCACTGACCAATCCTTCCTTGTTGCTAAGTATGAGATCCAGCAGAGCTCCTTTCCTTGTCAGCTCCTTAGTTACCCATGTTAGGAAGTTGTTGTTAATGCACTCCAGAACCCTTCTGGATTACTTGTGCCTTGCTGTGTTGTCCCTCCAGCAGATACATTGTGCTTCCCGCAGGTATTGGGGTAAAAGTCCTTTACTACTTTGAAGTAGTAAAGTAGTTAAAGTACTCCATGAGCATCTGGGCCTGTGAGTGCAAGACTTCTTCCAGTTGTCTGAAGAAGCCTCATCTACTTTTTCCTGATCAGGCAGTCTATAGCAGACACCCACCACACTGTTGCCCATCTTGGTCTGGCCTCTAATAATGACATATAAGCTCTCAGCTGGCTCCTCATCTGTCCCTTGGCAGAGCTCCATGCATTCTTGCTGCTTTCTCTCATAAAAAGCAACTCCCCTTTCCGCCATTGTGCATGTCCTTCCTAAAAAGCCTGTATCCATCCATGGCAGCACTCCAGTCCTGTGAGCTATCTTACCATGTCTCTGAGATCCCAGTGAGATCATTGCCCTGTGACTGCACACAAACTTCAAACTGTTTGTTCTCCGTGCTGTGTGTGTTAGTGTACAGACGCTTCAAAGATTGCTAAGCTTCCCAGGAAGGGATGAGAGCTTTCCTTGTGCTGTCCTATGGGTGCTTCCTTATTCATGTGCATACACTTGAAGTGGGCCCCATTTAGCCCTGTTATGTTGATTATGAGATTTCTCTTGTCCACATCATGTTGTTCACTTCACTTGTCCCATCGGTCCACTACTTCCTCATTTGATTGTTGGTCCTCATCTCCCTCCCCTATTGCTCCTAATTTAAAGCTCTCATCACCAGTTGACTAGACTGTAGGCAAAAATGTTTTTGCCCTGATTAGTCAGGTGAATCCCATCTTTTCTAAGAAGTCCTTGATCGTGAAAGATGCTCTCATGGTCATAAAAGCCAAATTCCTGTTACCGACAGCGATGCACAGCCAGTTGTTGACCTGCTGGATCCATCCAGCCCTCGTCAAGCCATTTCTCCTCACCAGCAGGATTGAGAATGCCACTTGGGCTCCATGCCCTTGACCATCACCCCCTTGCAGGATCTTCCAGGATCGAACTGAAACTTGTTATTGTTGTGAATATGATGGACAGCAGTTTTTCATGGATTTGTTCCTCATGGTAGAAAAAGCCATTTCTGCTGCTCACTCCCCTTCTCTCTCATTTCATCGCCATGCAACAGATGAAATCAGGGTTGGAGTATGATACTCTAGGAAAGAAGGGCAGCACAGCCTTTGGCTGATCCTGTGCTTGCTGTGCTAGCAGAGAAACTACAATCCTGTTAGTCCTCCCAACTAGATCTGTCCCTGGAAGTCATGGCTAAAGGCTAATGCTTTCCCAGGCCTATGGAAGAATGTTGTCCTAGTTCAAGACGTTGCATGCTGTTTGTGTGGTATTTGCTTTTACTCTAGAGAAAAAGAGTTACTGAAGCATTTTTTCTTACGCTTGTGTGATATAAATAAATATTTTTGGATGCATGAAGCTAATGTTTCCCTAACCCTTGGGAGTTGGTGCCCAAACTTCCTTGGGTTTGCCAGAGTAATCAGAAAGGCAAACAAACTGATGTAGCTCTGCATTTTTACTGATTATGTATTTTGGGTCAGCAGATTTACACAGTTCACACTTCATTATCCAACAAGCATAGAATACTCAGAAGTGATCTTAAGTAGCACAGATCTTTCTGCAATTTCTGGGTTGTTCCTGGATGGGTCATAAAGCTTTAAAATGTAGTGAAAGTTAATCAGCACAGATTTCTGCTAACAACTTAAGTAGTCCTTTGCTTGTAAGTTAGCATGCAAAGGGGGGATGGCACATAGTGGGTTTCGAGCTTCTCTCTTGGAAGTAGTCTGACTAACATACTGGAGAGCACCTGAGTGCTTTTGAAGGCACAGATCATGACCTAGGACTAGATAAGTGACAGCAAGTTCAAAATGACTTTTTTTGTCAACATAAGTCATTCCCCCAGTTTGCTTATGGCTAGACATTTGATCACAGAGGACCCTTCCGTCATCAAATCCTCCCTAGGCAAATATGGTCTAGTCCTGAAACTGGCTGAGGTGTGCACTCTCTAGCTTTAAAGTGCCATTCGCCAGGTTTGGAAACACACGTCTTCCACCTGGCCAAGGATATTTCATTGTGTTCTTCCTTTATATCAACTTGTGGGAACTGTTACAAGCAAAATATGAAATATGAGCAATGAATGCATCTTTTGCAATAAGCGTAAATGGAAAATAAGGCAAAACCAAACTTTGTCAAAATTACTTCCCCTTTATGCCTTCATTTCTTCATTATTCTTTGTTTTGCTTTTGGGGTTTGAAGTGTGTGTAGTAAGTGAAATGCTTAAAGTATTAGCTATTTTACTTTGTTTTCACTATGGACATTGTTGAAATCCTTTAAAAAGAAAGTCCCATATCTTGAAGACAAATAGCAAAGTAATTCTTTCTGCTAGGTAAGAAACTGTGCCAGGAAAAAGAGCGACTGGACCATTCTCATAGAGCAGTACTATTTCACATCAAGGAAGGAAGTGGTTAAATGCCAGGGGTGATGTCTTCTTAAAAGAGGTGACTGGTACAGAGAAAAATAAACGATACTCGCATAGCTTAGTGGCAGAGCAAGGAAGGAAAATGTAACCCTGAGGAGAGCTATTCTGGAAAGAAAGCCAATGGGGGGGGAGTGAGCTGATTACCCAAGTGTCTGCATCGGCTTCAGCTCCACAGAGCTGTAAGCATCTGGCATGGGGACATGGGACATGGTGCCTTCACACTTCCTCCAGACTGAGTACTTTTTTGGCTCTTTTTCTCTTTACAGGAACCCAGACCTTTGTATAACAAAAGGTGCCAGTTTTATTCAAGTGGTATAGGATTCCTGTATGATGCCTACCAGACAGAGGTAAACAAATTCACCTCATCACGTGTGTCTCTGCTGTGCTTTGAGGGGCTGGGGAGGAGGGAGGCAGGTGTTTGAGAGCATTTCTGTGCATGTAGGTCACGGGTTGATGATAGAAACTCTGCTGTTTTTTCTCCCACAAGTGACTCCCCACTTGTCCAAACCTCTGATGATTGCCAGTCATTGCAACCAGTGAGGTTTTGAGCTATCATCAGTGTTTCTATCCAGTACATTACTCTGGGACTGGAATGATTCCTAGTCCATCTATACTGTATAATAGCTGCCTGGAATGTATTTGTCACATTGGCATCTTTCTCTAAGGAGGTTTTTGTAGACTTCAAGTGGAATAGGAAATATCTAAATGAATCCATTTGCATTGTCCAGAAATCTTCTCTGTATTTATCCAGCACAGGCCAAGAATGTCAGTGGTTTGAATGCAGCTTTTTTATTATCTCAATGACATTAACATGGTCAAAAAAGTGCCCGTACCCAAATGGCTAGCCTCCTGAGAAGTCCAGATTTAGTTTCTTTTCCTATTTTTCATTTTATTATCGTGGTAAATCAGTGAGAGTGAAAAGAAAATCAAGCAGAACAGGATTGAAAACAGCTAAACAGTGGTATAACTTACAAGAAGCCAGATGTCCTTCATCACCATTCCTCCCATGGGTAAGAAAAAGTGTATGGGGAATGTTAGTGTTAATAAGTCTAGATGGCTTAGCAAAGTATATTACCAGGTTAAGTGGCTAATACTGCTTAAATCTTGGCACATTGTTGCAACCATTGTTGATTCCAGAAAATGTATGACAAAAATATTTCACTGACCTCCTTGCCTAAAGACCTACCCAGACAAACTTATGATCTGTGACAGCACCCTTTGCTATAAGTTTTAATCCATCCTCTTCTAAAGTGTGCATGCACACTCAGACGCAGACATGGCCCGAGAAATGCTTCTGATTCCTGTAGTAAGCGTGTAGCTGGTGTCACACTGACCACAGCTCCCTGCAGGTGACCTCGGGCTCCTGGCCAGACAGGTTTCCCCAGCTCTGCAGATTCTGGGAATGTCTAAAGTTGGGCCACCCAGAGCTCTTCTCTCTGGCAAAACCCCCATATCTTTTAAAAGTGTAGTTAGTTTGTAATAACATTCTTGTCTAGTTGTCCACTGATGTAGAGTCAGCATGTGCTAGTTCAGAGTTAATGATCCGTGGCATTTGAACTTGGCTTTTGCTTTTCCAAAGTTAGCCAGCTAGTGAGCAGGGGCCATGCTGTGCGTGCCAGGCGAACACCTAACTAGGAAGGCAGATTGTTTACTGTGTGCAAATTTCCTTTTGATTGCCATCTCCAGCCTGTGAGTTGTCTCCAGCTCATGTAATTTGCCTGTTTCAGTTCTTCTCTTTGATCAAAGCAGAACGAATTTGATTTTCTTGCAATTCCCATGAGGTGAGAACATCTCTTCAATTGGTGCTGAGGGGATAGACAGGCACAAACAGCCAGAACATGAAAAAGCTGAATGTCTGGTCACTGAAATGAAATAATAGGTCTTGACATGCAGAATACCCACAAATGGCCTGTTTCCATCACCCTTGCTCACACCACACAGTAACTTGTTTATTTTGGTTTATTCACTGTTCTCCTAAAAAGGAGTGTCTTGCTCTTTGCATGTCTTAAAAATGCAGTGATAAAAATAGACAACTACAGTAACTCCCTTGGCCAATAATATAATGCGTCTTGTAGCCTAAAAGCAGCTAAAAACGTTTAAGATCTTGCTGATCTCCCTCTTTTGTACTTCTAGCCATCTACAGTAAAAAGGGGCAAACTGGCCTTACTGATGCTTGGAGAGGGGAAAACTACTTTTATTTCCTATCAGAAGTGGTCCCCAAAGCCATGCATCAGAACAAATCCCCTTTTTAGCAGCCCACTCCATCTTATGAAGCCCTCTGATCCCAATCATGCATGTGTAATGGGAAAAGGGTATTTTAATTATGCAGGTTCTAGGCCATTTTGACTGCACACAGGAGGTCAAAATCAAAGTTCCACACAGTGCAAAAGCACTAAGGCATCCCAACAAAATGGCTGTGGTAGTGGATGCATTGGCACACTCTGCTCCAGGGTCGGTTTTCAAACTGCCTTGAGAAGTAGCCAGGTGTGATGTTTCAGTCACTCCTGAGCTGGATCTTGATTAAGCCGATGCAGTTGTTGATGGTAGTGTGCTCCTCTTCTGCAATAAATTGCAGCTCAGGCTGAGGGCAGCTGCAGCTGAATGTGGCGTCAGGCCAACAAAGCCCTTATGTGAAATTCCAGTAAGTTCAGACACAACAGAACAAGTTTGATGAAATGAGGTCCTGTCTCAGGGTGAGGTATTCTTGTGATAAGTGGGATGTGTCTGTATCAAGCTGTGAGCTCCATTTCCAGATTGCAACCTAGACTGAGACCCTCCTTTTATAACCTAACTTCCATTTTGGGTTAGGAGAGCTGATTTGTATGAGACACTAACCACAGGTACAGCCTTGTCCTGGGCAGCAAAGCAATCCCAAGGCATCGTTTTAACTTCCTTTTAACTTTAGCTTTGTCACCCAGCTTCCACTGCTCAAGCAAATCCTGCGAAGGACAAGTGTGCCAAGTCTGAGACCAGCTGCAAGATTAACTTTCTCTGGTGCTGAGTGTGTGTGTTTAAGGCTTTCCTTTTTGCTGGGAACAAACACGTGAGGAGTACAGACTCATCAGCAGTGGCAGTTTTCACACTAAAAAGGATGCACAGATCCAGAACTCGGGAGCTGAGAAACATCTGGTTTAACATCTCCTGTGGAGACTATCCCACAGACTAACACATTCATGGCTAAGCAGAACTGTCTGAGAGAAGCTTTTCAAAAGCAGGCATGTATTCCTAAGCATGCTCCTTCTACTTTTTCATTATGAGGAATTTTCCATTCAATAATGCATTTTATTTGCATTTGGTGAACAAAATACTTCTCAGTGGTTACAGTACATTTTTTCTATCAAAATAAAAACTATAGAAAGCATGTATTTTCTGACCTGCTAGCTTTTAAAACCTGACAGTTCTCCAGGATTTCAAAGTTAATAAGCTAAAAATCTCAGGAAAAAAAAACCTTACATATAAAATATTTCAATTGGTCTGTAGTGCCAAATAGAAGTGATTAATGCTTACCACATTTAAGGAGTCATTAAAATGATTTCTTGTCTGGATGGAGAGTGGCTTACGTGTGCCTAGCTTTATTGTTCTAACATCTGTCCATCCCTGCAATTGCCGCTTACACAAATAAACCTTTTCAGTTTTCTATTCAAGAGCCTGCAGTAAATGGTACTTATTTGCTGGAGTGCTTGGATCGGTTCTCAGTGGTTTTGTTTGTGGGTTTGGAGATTGTTCTTGTTGTTGTTCCTGATTATTTCCTTCTTTAGGAGGGTGTTAATGAAAGGAGGGAGCTCCCATTTATTGGCAGCTGTTCAGATAAATTGGCTTCTTTGCCCATTTCCCCACTATAATGGACTGGTATTCTTATCCACTTCAGTGACTTGCTGTGGTGTATCTCTTAGGACCCATGGTCCCTCCATCGCAGCTGTAGGGATCTGCATCTCGCAGCTGCAGAATCTGGGTCTCACCAAATAGCACCAGGCAGTGCAGCAAAGTGCTTGAAAACTCTGGCAGCCCTGGCTGCAGGTCGGTGCTGGGGGCTCTGGGCTTGATAGTACAAATGCCCGGAGACTCGGGGGCTGATGTCCTGAATAAAACTCCTGGGAGCTCGGGGATGTCTTTCTGCCCTGCAGTCGTGGATTTTGGAATCTCAGGATCCTTCTGCACAACAGGTAATAAAACCCGACACTGCAGTAGCTGCTTCTTTGTGGTCAGTAGGATGATTCACACAACACTGAAACACTGGGAATAAAAGTCAGTCTCTTCTTTTTTGGCAGGTGACATGTTATACCTTAAACAGCAAGTGCCAGCTGAAAGTAAAGAGTAACACGTGCTATTGCTGTGACCTGTACAACTGTGAGAAGTAAGTACCTGTGTGCAGTCAATGGCCTCTGAGAAAGCCTTGGGTGTTTGTCTGTCCTCTTAAATAATGGGGGTGGTTGCCCTTCGGCCTGGAGAGGCACCACAAGGGGCTTGTATCCTGAGCAATCCACTTCCTCTGCGACTCAAGTCCTGATGCCAGCAGAGAAGAGGTCAGGGGTTGCGTGTTAGCTTTGGCATTATTTCAGTTTCTTTTTCTTTAAATATGTCCATAAGCTCTTTGCTGTGCGATCAAAATTGACCACTCAGTCATAGCCCTGTCAAGATTTACTGTTGATCTTGCAATGCAATTTTCCCATTAGATTTAATGAATCCTTTTTTTTTTTTCCTACCAAACTGGGGGAAACAAAATGAATAGGAACATAGCTGTCCATGAGCAGAGATCATGTTGTAGGCATATGCAGAGCTCTTTTGTTAGCAACAGCCTCTGTAGGATTTTGCTAAATTGCCATAGGATAGATACAGAGGGTCTTGTGAGTGTTTTCTGAAGCTGTCCATTTGACTTCGTCATTTCCAAAGCACAAGATGTCAGAAAGTAAGAGAGGAAATGTCTGGATATGCTTACGAAGATCAGCTGAAGGTTAGCACAGGGTTGCCATGCAGCGATTTAACAGGAGTAAAAAAGGTGGTTAGGAAAACTACATCACAGCAAAGTCCAAGGGTTTATAATGTGGAAGACAGATGAAATAAACTCGCACAACTGACTGGCCACCTTGCACATAAGAGATTTCACCTGCAAGCAGCATCATGTCTTGCCACATACAAGAAACTGGGGAGAATTTCCCAGAGCAGATCTTCTGCCTGACTCACCCTCTGCACACCTCAGTGTCATCTGACCACGCACTCTCTTGCAACCTCTGCAACCCTCTACAGTTCACCCACAGTCACTCTTCTTTCTTTCCCTCTATGTATTTCTCATCTTTCTTTCTTCCTACATCTCCTGTTTTATTTTGGTTTTGCCTCCTTTTCACATGCTAGCAGCCCTGTATAACCCCAGTCCTCTGTAAGCCATGGCTAGCCAGACATGAACATTTTAGGTGTAGGGGAATGAGGCAGGCCCAGTGAGGCTTCTGCACAAGGCTTCTGCATAAAAGAGTAGCTCTTGCCTGAATCCTGACTCAACTAGAGAAGCAAAATGAAATTTGGGACTAGAGGGAAGTCACTTATGCATACGTATTTCTCATGCACACAAGAGACACAAAGTGAGTGCAGGTCTATGGAATGGATTAAAATCCCCTATGAATGTTAAGAGTTTTTTGCTTGTGTAAGAAGTGTTAAATCTGGACATGATGGAGGTATACAAAACAAATGACATGGGAAAGGTAGAGTATGCACGACTTTGGTACCTTTTCTATGATAGACACATGATGGAACATCATAGTTGCAATGCAGTATGTTTACACTGAGAATGCTTTCTTCCATGGTACATAACTAACTGGTGCACATTAACACTGAATCAAACAGCCCAACCCAATACAGATAAGAACAGGGGTTTTAAAGAGGTGAAAGCATTCAGAGTTATCAAATAAAGCGACTGAAACTCTGCTGCTTAAAGCATAAGGTAACAACAAGGAGAGAGCATGAATACTCCCCCTCTAGACGGAGATCCTCAGTGCCATTTTTCTGAGACACTGGGTTTGTCTGAAACACCTGGGACTGATCACTGCTGTGACAGCATTCAATGATATAATTAAACATGTGTGTTCTGCCATTGTCAGCAATCCACAGTGGACAGCAAGATCTTATGGCACTGCCGTGGACAAATCCAGAGTAAAGAAGCAGTCTTGCTGCTCTACAGACTTGGCAACTCCAGTTGATAGGATGGCTAGAAAGAAGTAGGAGGAGACACAGTCACACGAAGTGACTTGGTGTCAGCCGTGCAATAGACCGATATGCAGGCAGGATTGCAAGTCAGATTTTCTCAGCCTCATGGCAGCTGAAGCTATAGGTTTATTTAGTTAAGCAACGTCTGGGCTCATGATAGGGCCCAAGTGAACTCAACAGGAGCAGATCCGCAATGCCAGAACCATGCCCAACAACAAATGATTGGACATTTCCAGGAATTACTGCACTTGGCTTGGTTATTCCCAGAAATGTTGTGGGTTTCTCCATGCTGCTACCTTCATCTGCAGAGCTTTCCCTAACGACCATATATATCCACTGCTGCCCCCTGCACTGGGGATGGAGGAACAGAAGAGTAACCATAAACTGCTCACTTCTGGTTTCCACCATAATGTGATGGCAGTTTCCTAACAGTGCAAAAACAGACTTGGCATTTAAAAAATGTTTCCAACTCAAATAGCTGCTCTAGGAGCTCATTAGTGGGCTAGCATTAAGGCAGGTACTGGAAAGAACTGCAGGAAACTGTGGTTTCAAATTTTGCAGTAGGATATTTCTGACTTTCGGCAAGACAATGAGGATTAACTTCACAACATGCCTGATTTACAATAGCCAGTGCAGTGTAGAAATAAGAACAAACAAAGATTTCTGGATAGTACAATCCATAGTGTAAAGGCACATCTCTATGCTGTACTGTGTTGCATCTGTTAATTTGGAACCGCAGACACCATAAACAAATGTAGCCAGCTGGCAAAATCTCCCTTCCTATGGTTGAATTAACGCTTAAGCAACTTGCCTTCCCCAGTTTCAGAGATGCCTGGAGATTTCCAGGTGAGCTGGGAAAAAAGCAATGCTAAGCATGCTTTAGCTGGTAGCTAAATGACAAGGGCCGCATCCATATGCCAGGACTATGCCTGTATTTGGAGGCCCCGAGCAAAAACAAAAAAAGTCCCTGCTGGTGCACAACACCGATCAGCCAAACTGGGGTTGGTATTAGTTGGACTACATGTTTAATGCTGGCATTAGCAGAGCCAATTTTTGTCTACCGTAGAGCTTTCTCCAGTTCGTCTGAGCAGTGTTTGGTGGGAGCATGAATGAAGTGCTTTGCCAAAGAGGAAAGTAAGCAGGAGGGATTCAGATCCTCTGGTGCTCTGTATTATGCGCAAAACCATTCCCACCACAGTGACGTTGTCTACATTCCCTTTCAGTTCAGAGCAGTCCTCCAGCTACTACGAATTTCTCGGCGTGAGCAGCTGTCAGGACGTGGTTCACCTGTATAGGCTGCTGTGGTCCTCCACAGTCCTCAACATCATCGGGTTGTTTCTGGGGATTATTACGGCAGCCATTCTTGGGGCATTTAAAGACATGGTAAGGCTCACAGTCTTTTGCCTTATGTGAGGACTTCTGTGCTTGTTGACATTATGAAATGGGTTAAAACCAGGGAAGCATAAGTGTATGAAAGAGGCACTTTAAACGTGTTTCCTGTGTGATCTGGGAGTCTGGAGTCGTATCTTTAGGCTAAGCGGTTGCCAGCTGCTCACAGCTAAGTAGGTCAAGCCTGGTCAAATACATGAATGGAAGGGAAAAAACAGGCGTCTGTGTGAACAGATGCTGGGGATTCACTTAGTGGCATCTTTCTTTCCTTCTAATTCAGCATTCAACATGTGGGCCAGCACAGAGTTCAAGGATGCTGGTTTGTGGCTAACATGTAAAACTCAAGTCCTAGCTGTGACTGTTTAACCGAATGTAGTTCTTTTCCCAAGAATGGGGATTAACTCTGAAGTACCAGTCAAGTTTTTATTTAAACAGTTGTATTCAGGTCACATTAACCTTCTCTTTTGTCTCACTAAGGAATGGCACCCTCTAACTGCTCCCTGTGCCACACCACCATGTTGTGCTGATGTGCACTACGGCACTCAGAAGAGGCTGTGTGCTAGAAGGTATTCTGTAATAGAGTGCCTCATCTGCCTAGCTTTTCTGACATGTTAAAAGGGTGAAGTAGCTGTTCCTGGGATTATCACTGTCCGTGGTCACGTTTGCTAAAGCAGTGCCTAAAGACCAACCAAGTGGCTCATGATTTACTAGGCACTCAGAAGAATAGATGGTCCTGGCCCAAAGAGCTTCCAAACTAAATGGGCAGAGGCGGGGGGATGGAGGTGAAATGCAGGAGCCGAAGGGAGGTGTGATAGCAGCACGGGTCGTCTTAGGTCCATGATGTTTCTGGTGACTATTCCGGACGAGAAAAATAAATAGAAAGACAGGTGAAAGGAAAGAAGAGAGGGATGGAGCAGGGAAGAGGAAGCAAGAGAGGTGGGTGGGATGTACACCTGGGGGGCCAACTGGAGGAAAGGGGCTGCTCAGAGCTAGCAGCCAGTGAGCCAAGGACCCAGTCAGACTGGAGGCCATCCAGGCCCTGCTCTGACCATCCAGCATCCCTTAGCAAGCATGTCCAGGCTATCTACAACGTGTGCCGGGTGCTTAAAACCATGTGACAGAGCAGGGCCATATGAATTATTTGAAATTCACCTTGTTAAGAGTTGCAAAATGTTTGCTGGAAATATTCCTCTCTCTAGCTTAAGGCAAACAAGCACACTGAGCCTTCACATGTAAGAAATGTGCAGCTGAGCTGTCCTTTATGTGAGAGGACTTTTGCAAAGAGTTGATAACAAATGGCAGCCAGCCAGTAAAGAGTTGCGGCTGCCTGATAGGAGGGAATTGAAACAGCTTTCCCAGCTTAATTCATACCCTCCCTGTGAGAGGAGCAATGGCAGAAGGGGAGCAGAAACAACCACAGTGGTAAACGAGGGGAAGAGCAGCTACATGAGGAGGGGAAGGCAGGCATCATCTACAGTAAGTCCTTGGTAGAGCACTGCAGATTTCCAGTGCTGCTAAGTATTTTCCCCTGCCTAGCAGATGGGTGCGAGTGCCTCCACCAAGGGCAGCTGTGGGAGTTGCTAGTGCTCCCCTGCGATGGGGAAGGGTGCAGAGAGCCAGCCTGAGTCCACTTAATCTGTCTCGCACAAACTGAGGCTTACGTGGGATTTGGGCTGATGCTTCATAGCAGGGCGAGCTCCAGCCCAGGCTCACTTCTGTGCTGCATGGGGGCCATCGCTGCACTGCTCACGAGGGATGCCAAGCCGAGGAGACGTTCCTGGGAGAACTGGGGTCTCCATGACCTGGCACATTCTCTCGCTGGGAGGCAGAGCCTGGGTCAGGTTCTGGGTCCTCTGACTGAGCAGCATAAGGCCGTGCAAGGAAATAGCAGCAGCAGCGGACGTGCAGCTTCCCCCCCAGGCTTAGCTGGAGCAAGTCTGTCGGGGCTCCAGCTAAAAACCTGATCTGAATAAGCTGTTTAATGTCTCCTCTGCAGTGGGAGCAGAGCTAGCTTAAGGGAAAGATGAGTTTGTCTCAGTTACCTCAGCACAGTAGCCATGCTATGCTTGTGAAAGTGTTACTATAGCAGCAATCCAAAATGCAATGACCGCTCCTTGCTCCTGCCTGTGCTTTTTCAGGGTCCTTTTGAGTGACGTACCAGAGCTGGTCTGCTAATCTGCTGCTTGCTTTCGTTACGAAAGGAGTAACTCTTGGGGGAAGACAGGGGCCAAGAAAGCATCAAGCAGAAGAGGGAGAGAAAGGGGCATGGGACTGAAATAAGAAAAAAAACCCTTCAAAATGTGTGGGAGAACAATTTTCTTTCTTTCAGGACATCACCTTCCCACAGAAATGCTCACTGGCATTTTGCAGGGAGAGCTGCAAAGCCCACTGAAACGCCTCAGGGCACTGCTCCGAGGTTGACTTCCAGAAAACACAGGGCCAGGCTGACTAGTCAAACAAAAAACATCATGTTTATCTCTGGGGAACGCTGGCAGCCAAAACATGTTACAAAGGGGAGAGTTTGTAAAACAGCGCCGTTGCCTCTAAACCCATCACATTTCCTGGACAGAAAAAAAAAAAAAGTGGTGTTGTGTTGGTTGTTGCGGGTTTTCTTTCTTGTGACAAATTCCCTGCAGACCCTGGCATGCTCCCCGTGGTTTTGCTGCCTGCCAGAGGGCTGTGCTGGCTCAGTGGGAAACATTTCATCCTCTCCTGACCCCCAAGGCGTCAGCTCTCAGTGGCTCCTGTGTCACCCAAGGGGCCATCCTCCGTGATCTGCTGGGTGCTGGGGGAGCTGCAGTGGAGCTGCCACGGTGCCCTCCTTTTCAGATCTACAGTGTGCTTGGATATAGGATGCCAGCTAGGCAGTTGCCTTAAAATCACCTTTAACAAAAAGTAGATTGAGATATAATGTAAATAGAAGTATGTACTTGGAGTATCCAAAATGGTAAAACACCATGATTATTTCTTACAGAAGAAAAAGGTAAAGAAATGCATGGAAAACTTCACTTGCTGGTCCTAAGAGTTAATCTAGAAACTCCCTTCCATGCCCTGGTATTCATCTGATGACTTGTAGATGTTTTCCTGACACACCTTGCGAAGGAATCTGCCTGCCCTCTGTTTAGGGTTGCATTAATCAGAACTACTGATGGTCCTGGTGGGGCTGCTAGCTTTTTTTTTTTTTTTCCAATTAGTCTCCTTCTTGGAGTCCTCAAGGGAATCTGAACAGATTAAATATCATTCCCTTCTCTCCTCTCCTCTCCTCTTCCCTCACCCTGCTCTAAAAACAAAACCAAAATGAACCCCTAATTACTGAGCTACTTGCCATGTGTTCATGTCTTAGCACTCGTGCAACTAAAGGTGCAGCCTGATGTTAAAAGTAGTCGTACCTCAGGAATAAATGCTTTGGCAGCTCTGTGTCAGATCAGCGAGCTGTCCTGCCTTGCTCTGCAGCCGCCCAGCAAGCCGCTTGCGTGGCCGGGTTGGAGGTGGCCAGACAGCCCCTCCGGCCACAGCCCGGTTTCCCCACGCTCCCTGACCCGAGGTGCCCGCATTGCACTGGCAGCGTTCCCTGGCTGGTTCACAGCTCCTTATCTCTCTGGCTTGGGTGGTGTTTCAGTTTAAAATGTCTCCACCTGCCCTTGTATTTTATGTGACTAATTTAACATGGTGTCATTACTGGAATACTTGATAGAAGCATCTAACCAGCTTCAATACCTGCGAATCATTGCGGCGCCAGGCTGAGACCAGATAGCATGATAACAAGGTGCTTTGATCAGTGGATTTGGGGTGGATGACTCCCCAAAACTGTCTTCTAGGACTGTTGTGATATTCATCCTTAGCAATTGGAGAGCATTGCTGCTACAGATGGAGAGAACGTAAGAGGACTAAGAGAGGTTCCTGGGAGAAGGACAGCAGCACCCAAAGGGACGCACACCAGAAAGCTGGTGACAGATGCAGAACAGAGACATCTGTGTTTCATGTTGGGCAAAACAAGTGTTTCTTGCTGCATTTACGTCCATAGCCAGAAGGACTATGGCCAGGGTGAGCCGTGTCGCTGGCCCCAAACCTTGGGTCTGAGGCAGGCTCGTTAGCTGCTTCTCACTACTGCTGTCTGAAAGGCAGTGTCTCTCCACTTCTCCCCACCATATCCACTCAGGAGGGCGGGTAGAAAGGAGGTGTTTTGAGGAGGGTACCTTGAAGATGAGAGACTTGCCTTCTCCCATGAAATAGGCTCTGTGCTTTCGACCCCAGCCTTTCTCTGTGCCAGCTCTTGGGGTGCTAAGTTCCTCGAGAGAGCTAAGGCCTGGATTGTCAGGTAACCTCATGTGGTACATCAGTGACCTAGATGATGTTTTCCATGTACAAACACAATTAATATAACTCTTTCTCAATCATGGAGAGATCTCACGCTATCTCCAGAGGATGCAGTGGTTTATGTCTCTCACTGATAAATCTGAAAAGAAATGCCAAAACAAAAAAATCCTGGCTGCTGCTTTCAGCATTTTTCTGGCAACCACCATATTTTATTATTTCAGTAAAAAGAAAATTCCATGCTCTCATGTAGAGGAATCTGCTAATAAAAACAAAGGAGAAAAGAAACCACTGGATTTGTCTCATTTTGCAAAGCAGAGGGACATGAAAATCTCAGAGAGCTCTACTGTCTTTCACAAATGGTTGTATAGCACGGGGTTTTAGTGTTTAACACAAGCCCCCTTTCACATTTAGCTTTTGCTCTTTTTTTTTTCCTCGCCCAGTTATATTAGCTGGTTTAATATAAGCTACTACTTCTTCCTGCAAACCTCATCTCGCTTTGCAGTTAAGGGACATGCCAATAAAGCCACGGGATATGATGAAGGATTTTATGCAGTAGGAATGAGATATACACGTGGGGGGTGGTATTGCACAGCCAGCAGCAACCTCCATTTCACAAGTGAGAGGGGGCTGTGAAAGAAGAGCAAGTGGTCTGGAAAGGAAGATCTTTGTAGCCCTGTGTAGGAAAGCAGAGAGCAAAGACATGAGGGCATCAAGTAGTTGCTATTGGAAAGAGTCTGCAGCAAACTGTGAAGGACTGGGTGTTTCGTGCTGAAGAAGAGGCGGTCAAAGCTGTATGCTGTGCTCTTCAGCGTGTCTCGGGTCTGGAGTCCTGCCAGTGCTTCTGTAACTGGTGCTAGGGAAGCACCAGCAGTCTTTTTCCAAGGGAAGATTAAAATAGCTGTGTATTTCTGGTCAGAAAATTCACTCCAGATACACCCTCCTCTCATTCTGTCTGCTCCTTGTTTTTTTGTAGTACCGGTATTGTGTTGGAAAATAGCAAGTTGTTAAATTGCCTAGTTGCTTGTGTTACGACCAGTTCCCACTCCGGCCCCCTCTGAGCTGTGCTGATATATTGTTGTCTTCTGTGCTCAACAGGTACCTCTGTCCCAAATTGCTTTCGGTGCTGCACCTCCTCCTCAGATCCTGTACAATCCTGCCCAGCAGATCCTGACATACGCTGGGTTCTGTCCTTCTGCAGCAACTATTTCTACATACCCATCCTACCCGTTACCTCTTCAGGTACAGTACAAAATGACACCCTTCTTACTCCATCAGAAAAACATAAGCTGCTACTCAGTACAAACTCTGTAGTGGTAGATCTTGGCTCCTGGGGGTTTGAAACGAGGCAAAGAAGTTGGATCCCAACTCAGACTCATCTCCTGGATGACTTAGTCTGGGCCTAGTTCTCAGGTCTGTTCTCAGATCTCCGGCTGTCTCTGGTTGTCCTTTGGACTCTGCCTGCTGACTGGGAGTCCCAGTGTGGGATTAGAGCTGCACTACAGTAGTCATGAAGGTGAACACAACCCCCGTGTTGGGCAAGATAAAGCAGCACCAGAGGCATTGGGGAAGCAAAGGAAGCATCTGATACACACAGGATTTGGCAGAAAAGTTTACACACCATAGCCCACCTGACTCTTAATATAGAGATAAGTAGATTAGGACTCATCAGATGGAAAGGAGACAAGAAAGGGGAGGAAATAAGAGGTCCGTGAAACTGAGTGATATGGAAAGGATTGTGGATGGATATTAGTGATAACTTCTAATCACACAAAGTTTTGGTTGCCCCAGTAAAGCTATTAGGTGGCAAGGTAAGCCAGAAATAGGAAGTGTTTTTACACACCAGGGAAGATTCAAATGCCACAGGATGTTGTGGAAGAGTATAAATGAGGGGTTAGGAACATCAGCTGCTGTTAAATACAGGGATTCAGGTGTCACTTGCAGCCCAGCAAGTCCCCAAATGGTTGCCTGCCACAAGAACAAATGGGGGCTCATCAAAAGATGGAGCCCTTTTTCTTTAACTTCCTGTAAACATCTGCTACAGGGCACCACTGGGAGACAGGTACAGAGCTGTTAGGGCAGTTGGCGGAGGCTGGTGAGCCTTACCGACCAGAGGCAGCTGGCCTGAAGGCAGGAGAGAAAGCTGCCAGAGGTGCAGCTGAGTCAGCACTGCTTTGCCTCCTTCAGAAGGATGAGGTGCAAGTCGTGCTCCAAGCCTGTGCTGCGTCCAGTCAGAGCTGGCCTGGAAAATGCAGGGAGTGGTGCTGAGGATGGTGTTTGCTTTTTTTTTCCCCCAAAGTGAGGTGAAGAACGTAGGGTGAGCTGGTAAATAACTGAATGTACTGAGACCCTAGAGCAATCATAGGAGTTTGTAGATTTTTTTTTAAAGCACAGTAAGACTGTTTTGTTCCATCCAATGGCTTGTTATACTTTGGCTGTGTAGTGGTAGACCAGTGAGTACCACGAGTTTTGCAATACTTCTTAATTGAAAACACTGCATGTTTAGCATGAACTAGCCATGGACCAGCTCCCCACAGCCTCGTGGGCTACATCTGTTCAGGGCCAATAAGCTGCCAGGCACAAGTACTGGGACATGATGGTCATCCACACACTGAATTGTTAGTGTGCTCCTGGTATGGGTTTGGCCCAGACCACCTAACAGTCTCCCAACAATGCTTAGGAAGGGGTCAGAAGATGGCAAGGGCAATGGACTGTTCCTGGTAGGTAGTGTGCATACAGACAGTCACACTGGTTTGGTGGTAAGAGTTCAGCTGTAGGGCTGTGGTATGTGCTGTGCCAGTTGGCTTCACAGCCAGAGAACAGTCCTTGGCACGTCTTATTTATTAACATAAATGGGGCCAGGCACTTTTGGAGACCATGGGGTTGAGAGGAAAAAAAGAACATCTCTTTTTGTTTGCTTTTAGCTGAAAAGCTGTGCTGTTCTGCAGAGTTCAATTAGCACGTAGCCAAGAGTAGAGAGAGAAGGGGATAAAAACAAATGAAAGAAAGCAATTAAGCTGAAAAGATGCATGTAAGTAGCCATGAGGATGAATTGTAACTGTTCAGTCCTGTGTCCACTGAAGAACAGAAATACATCATATTTACCCCAAATTCTTAACTGCATTCCAAAATAAATACAGTTCTTTTCCTAGATTTCCACTTTTTCTAAGAAGCATGCTCATTTGTCTTCTCTCCCCTTCATAACAGTCAGAGGCAGACAGTACCAGCTGTCTCCAAAACAGGAGAGGTTAGCGAGAAGCACCGGTCTCCAAAAGGGAAAGCGCTTAATCCTCTTCCTGGGGGAAAAAAATAAAAAAAGCAAGCCGCCTTCCTGCATGTATGAGCTCATTATGTTGTAGTTTGGAGAGAAGTAATTTCTGCATCAGTGTATGAGTTAAAAAAATCGTAATAAACTTACTCAAAGATACCAATGGTGAATGTTAGAAGCAGGCCCGATTAGGAACAACCAGAAACTTAACCATCATCCACTTCCGTTACTTGAGCGCTGTGGGCTGAATCCTTGGGGCTGGAGGTCTTCATGATGCATCTAAGTGCTCTAGGCAGTGCCCAGCTGCTGGATTCAAGCCTTCACAAGCCCTGCTCAGTTGGTCCTCGGCCTTAAGGCAACTACAGGCCCTGGGACTGGGATTCATCTGGCTAAACACAGGGGCTATTGGCATGTAGGGATCTAGTGCTGCCTGATAATGAGATCAGGTAGCCACCTGGCCCCTGCTGCCACTCCGGGAGCATCCAGGTCCTGTAGTCCCTGTGTCACATCTGTGTGGATATCTGGGATATCCCATGGCATCCCAAAAGGGCTGGACGCTTACATGTGGGCGACTGACTTGAGCTCTAGCTCAATGTCCATGGTGTAGGAGACTCTGCCTCAGCTGCTCTACCCTTTAGAGTCCACAGGGAGAGCCACACACAGATTATCTCAGGCTAAAGATATATGATGTGAGTGCTACAAATACACCCTGAAGGCTTTCCACTGACTAGGGGTGGAATTTGGTTGCTACATGTCACTATGCTGTGCGCTTAAATATCTATGTTCTTGAGCCTTCAACTGAGACATCAAAATCTGAGGCTGAACCCTGTATCCTAGGGGTGTAGTTCAGTTGCCTAAAGATATAGCATCTGAGATGGCCTAATGGTCGCAAGACATCCATACAGGGCTGGCTGATGTGGGCCAAGGTCTACATGAGACTCGCACATATTTCTGGAGCAGCTGGCAGAGGGTGCCCTTGGGCATCTCAAAAGGCACAGTGTTTTTGCTTCCACGTAGAGCAAGATCCACATAAGAGCCCCAAAACGCACCTCTTTTCTCAGCGTTCCCTTTGGCTTGCCGAAGCTTTGGCTGAACCCTGTTCCTAAGCCCCTGCATTTCACATTGCCCTGCACCTGCTCCCAGTTGGGGCAAGGTCACACACATGGTGGTTCAGTACAACAAAAGGAGCAAGACCTTCTTCAGCTAGGAGTTAAGGGGGAAAAAAAAGTGAATTGATGCCAGTTAATGAAGTAAAGCAGTTAGCAACCAAGTACCAACTAATAACTCTAGTTTGAACCCTCACCTCAACCAGAGGAAATCCACAGCCATAGTTCCTCGTCCTGGGAACATATCCCACCTTGGGCTAGTCTGGCATGCAACACACCTAGCCTAAGCGCTGCCCCCGCTTGCATGGACTGAAGCTCCATTAGCGCAAAGGCTATGAACCTGAGTTCACCTGCGGCTCCCACCATTGAGCAGATTCATTCCTAGTCCTCTGCTGAATCCAGTAACTCACTGAATGACTGCTTGCTGGAGGGGCAAACAAAGCCTTTAAAAAAAAAATCACAACCTGAGCTGGTGGTAAACACTCCTCAGTTCACCTCATGCTTCCTTGTCCACAAGCAGAAATCGGCCAAATGCAGAAAAAAAAAGGGTGATAACAGGAATGCATTTTTGACAAGGATGTAGCCAGCATTTCTTTTGTTTACTGTGGCATGTGCTAACAAAATCATTCATCCCTTACTGGTACAGTTCAGTCACAACTAGTCTTGGTAACAGGCCTGCCAACTGGTCAGGTAAATGATTAGCTGTGCAGGGACTGGTGGCGATGACAGCCGTAAGGGTTGTGCCAGTCATTCCTGCCAGAGGAGAGCTCATTGCAGAAGCAATTCCAGGCAGACAGATGGAAACAGTGGCTACAGTTTGAGGGGGGAGGGAAGCAACAACTCCAAAATAAATAAAAAAAACCCAAACCACCCAAAACCCCAACAACTACGTTTGGAGCTGATCTAGCTAGCAGGTCTGTCAGTATACCTGCACTGCCTCCTGGAGAGTTAAAGGGCATAATCAACCTTCCTCAGGACGCCCCCATTCTCACTCACTAAGTCACACTGTGGTACAAATGCCAGACAACATTCTCCTCACCATGGGGGTTTGACCCAGGGCAGCAGCCCCTGCTCACCCACAGCCCCATGGAGAAGCCAGGCACCGTGGCGTGGGGTCTGCCAGCCCTGGGCAGCTCTGAGATGCCATTGTCCAAGTGCCAGCCCTGATAGTGGCCTTCTAGATGGTGACTGTTAATTTTTTTTAGCAGCAGGCAGCATTTACTTGCCGAGGTTTTTCATTTCCCTTGAAAAAGATCCATGATTACTAGTTTTGTTTTGTTTTGTTTGTTTTTTAAATTCCAGGCACTTTAGGCCTGAACCTGAGGGGAGCTGAGCACAACTCTTCGGATGAAGCCCATGGACTGGCATGTGTTGACATATGAGGGGAGGAGTGAAATCCTGACCCTCTTGAAATCAATGGCAAAACTTGGTTTAAAGTAGTGGTAGGATTTTATCCAGAACATTAATCCCTACATGCCTTCTTTTGTTTTGACCAACTCTGCTTGTTCCTGAACATGGGCTGCTTCCTAAGCTCTATCTATTTTTCGTGCCTCTTTCACCCAAAGCCCCATTATAGCCGAGACAGCCAAAGCAAAAGACTTACAGGGAGACACATGCCTACCTGTAAAATTTTCTCTTCAGAGGAGCCTGCATTTGGCACAGGAATAAGACCTTGCATTTATTTAAATTTCACAGTGATGCCTGCAAATGAGCAGCTACACATAACCTAATTAGCCGGTCAGGTGCAGTGCCTCACCCAGGCAGCCAGAGCTGCTTTTCCTGCAGAAATTCCTGTTCTGCTCTGTTGCCTAGCTGTATGCGCAATGTCTATTCAAAATGACTTGGGTTACAGACGGAATCTGTCTTGTTTTGCTAGACACCATCATTTCTATACTTAAGCAGGTGCTTTAAAACTAAAGTGAGTATTGTGCTGCAATGCATGAGAAATTTAATTGTGGGGCTTATTATATAACACTTACATGGCAACCACTTAATGCAGAGCTGCAAATGGGGTTGTAATCCTTTACTGAAGAAGGTATTTTTTTCTTTGTCTATATACAGCCTGCCAGCAATTTTCCAGGAACGTCGTCTACTGACATTTCTTTATCAGAAGAAACTCAGCCGCCGTCTCAGTCCAGCTCCAGCTATGGTCTTCCCCCCAACGCTCCAGCCCTCTATACGCCGACTTACTTCTTGCCTGGAGAAAAGCCTCCACCATATGCACCATAGAACAAAGAATTTCTTTTAGGTAGCTGGTAGGCTTTTATTTTGTTTTTAAGAAACCTCTGGAAACCGTGCTGTGCAGGCACTAGACTTCCCAAGGAACCCACCGCAGAGTGTGTTACGGCCACTCTGCTTTTACCCACGTCTCACTGTGAGCAGAGCAGAACCCTAGAAACGTCAGGGTGGGCACATCACCAGCGGGGTGACCAGTCACCACCAGTTTGCCTGCCGTCAAATGCAGTGTTGCTTTCTGGCTACCATAAGCATGAGTTTTTTTCCTTCTCCAGCTACTGGAGAATGATTTTTCTTCAACAGGAGAAATGAAGAAAGCACCCTGGATACCTGTTCTGCTCTCATAAACCAATATAGAGGGGTTTTAGCCTGTGTTGTCCGAGTGGGTAGTCTGGAGCTCTCCGAGTCAATCATTTTGGGTAGGAAGAGACGAAGTGTTTGTTTGCTTGTAGCATTTATTTAATAACCCTTTTTGGTGAAAGTGTTGTACCAATAAAAAAAAAGTGTGGCAATTATTTTACAATAAAATTGACCGTGTATATTTATACTGTACCTAATGCTGTCTATATTTGTAAGGACAGGAAAACAGAAGAACAGAGGAAAAAGCACCCTACTGAATTGTTCTCTCTTTCAAGTCTCAAACAAAAAGGTTAATTTTATTGGGACTATTTTATCCAAACTTTGTGCCAGTCTAGTCTGCATAGTAAAATGTCATCTCAGTGTGCTAAAGATGCAATTTCCAGATAGGTATTTAAGCTGCACTTTAGTGTTCAAATTAATTCCTTTCTAGTCAAAAGAGGACCACAACCAAAACCACTCTATGTTAAACCCCAGTTATTTATTTTTAAACTGATCAAGACCTGATCCAGGCATTTTACAACAACTGAAACAGAATGGATGAAGGGTCAGATTTCCTTCTTTTTTTTTTTTTTTATTTTCTCCTATTGTATAGAGACAAAAATACGTTGACAAGGCTAAGCAGCAATACCTGTAGCAGTGCCAGCGACAGGAACAAAGTCTTGTCCCTGTCGTGCGCACCCTGCCCCCTCGCTGCGCACCACGTTAGCTGGGATCCCTCTTAGCACGTCGCTGCCATATTTCAGGGCAGGAGCGGCTATACCAGCATGAAACCCCGTCATACCAGTATGAAACCCCGTCAGACTCCTGCATCCCTTCACTGCATTTGGCTCTTGCAGGAAGGGTGGTGCTGCTGCTTGCTCTATAGATCTTACAGTCTAGACAGCAAAGAAGCTATAGAAATTTCCTGAAAGGCCAAAGAGCAAAGCAGAGAAAGGAAGGTATTTCTCATTAATTTTTTAAGCAGCTGCTTCATATTATGAAAATATAAAAAAAAACCCTATAGAAACAAAACCAGCCTACTTGACAGTTTCCTTTGAAAGGAAGTGACACCATCAGGCAAGCTGAAAATAGAACAAAGAATGATCAGCCTTTTACAGAATATTTTCCACCTTTCAAGAAGTTTGTTAATTTATGCGTTGTACCTCTATGTATAAAAAGCAGATTCAGTACTAATACAAATAACATCAGAGGTTAGTTTATATGGACAGTAAAAAGCATGCTTTGTTCAATTAAGACGGATTTTCTGAGATGAAAAGTTTTAGGCCAGCGATGTTAACGTGAGTGACAAGGTGCCTTATGTGTATTGTTGACAAGGTGAGTTATATGAACCTGGTTAAGAGAAACAGAGAGGAGAGCATTATTTTTCCTTTAAACATGAATTTAATGCATCCAAAATGCTTAGTTCTTGTGCAAATGCATGTTGTGACGAGCACAATCATCACCCTGATCATGGAGTGGAACGACAAATTCACTTCTCTTTACTCACTATGATACAACCGGGGGACCACCAGGGTTCGTTTTGGGGACTCAAAGCCCAGAACAGAATTGCTCCCTTTGAGTTGAGCACCTAGACAGCTAATAGAACAAAAATTAAATCAATATTTCTCTTGGGCTGAAGCACAGTGACTGAGAAGGAATGAAGGAATGCTTATCACCTTTTTCCTCTTTTCAATGGTACATAGAAGCAGCTGCCTCTTCCTCCAGCATGGTACTGCTATAGGGTATTAAAAACAACCCAGCTTGACACAAAAGACCCCTGCTTTCTGTAATTCTCCAGATGTATAAACTCTGGCTTTCTCTTCTAAACCACATTTTGGGTTTGGGGGCGTTGTGGTCTATGCAAAATATCTTTGCATACATGCACGCATATGCACAGTCCTGGAGAAATTTTTGCTCTGAATTAGATTGGTTTAGAAAATGAAATTACAGTCTTTTTTCACATAATATTAAGTCTGAAACTGCAGCGTACCACACTGTACCACAGGATTCACGTTTCCAGGATCCAAAATAATTCTGGCCTCATAAATAGTACCACTTACATTAACACAAAGGTCAGACATGTTTGTGACTCATTTATGCCACATGGGAGTTTTTTGGGAACTACCACAGAAATTATACAAAAATGCCAGACATAAGACTATTTTGCTAAGATGCTTCCTTTGAAAAGAACAAAGTAAACCAGGGCTTGTTTCATCTCCTTGGTTTAAAAAAATAGTAGGTGTCTTCCAAGTTTGTACTGTTTTCATTAGAGCTACTCCAAGTTAAAAAGATGGGAGATGTATTTTGGTAAAGGACTAAAATAACCATGAAAAACACATAGAAAACAAAACACTGCAGTGTGGAAGTGCTATTAACCACAGTATCTTCAGGATTCCCGGCTCTCACTGGAGATACTAAACTAATGTTTCTTGAGTTCTCCATCATATCACAAGTTGATCCAGTGTCATCAACTCTTAACAGAAAGCACTCTCAGGAACAACATGGTTTCCCTTGCTCAATAAAAAAGCAAAAACAGAACTACTGGCTTTTCCTACCCATGCACACTCTGCCAATAAGTTATTACTGTCTAGTGAGCAACTCTCCTTTCAAACTTGCATCTGGTGGTAGCTGAGTGTAAAGAGTCTTTTGACAGGTCCTTCTGTAAGTGTAAATGAGTACGTTGGTTGAAAGCGACAAAGCTCTGGTCTCTTCTGCCCTACTGCGTTATTGCTGACTAATTTGGTCATGATATGGAGCTATGATGTCATGCTGCCTAATGGCTAAGAGAGTACCTTCCTCTTCTCTGCTAAATAAAGCAGGGATCCTTACCAGCAAATATGTTTGGGATAGTCTTCCCCCTCTTCCATCCTTTCCTCTGGGACAGTTACATCTCCACAGCTTGGTCACAGAAGTTGTCACAGGTCTGGATTATTAGGCTAATCTATCACCTCCATATTTGGCTAGGCAAAACATGACATAGGATGACCAGGAACAATTTATAAAAGACCTTGTAGGATTGGACATTTTCCATGTTAACCCTCTGAAGCATAGGAGAAACTGAGCCACACAGTGTTGTGTGGATTTGTGTTGGATTTCCACCACAGCATATACCTATCTTTCTCAGTTCATTAATGTGATGCAAGACAAGGACCAAATAAAGCAAGATTTAAGTGCCTCACAGCAGGCTAGGCAAAGCCCACCCCAGCTTCACAAGGATAGCTTAAAAGTTGAATGTACTTCATGGCTCTACAACCTCTCCCGAGTAAAGCCCCACGCATATTCTCACCACACTGCAGTTTGGCCTGGCTAACTCTCACAGTCTCGAGCCTCTCTGCTCCCACTAGGCTCACAGTGAGTGAGCCAACCGAAAAATTAAGCAGCAAAAATATGTCATCGCCAGATAATATTCCCCAATTCTTGACACCTCATCATCTGCTTCAGCGGTTATTGACACAAAAGCCATATGGCTTTCAACTTATTGAGTCTTTTCTTCTAGTTGTTTCCAGCTGACCCGATTTTGTTTTCCATTTTCTGTTGACCAAGAGTTTTTCTAAAGGTCACAATTGAGTCTTCTATCTGTGGTACCAGAAAGAGAAACTCTAGCAATAAGAATAGCAGCAACCATTTGCTCTCCAGCCCAGAAGATATGTAATACTGACATAAGCACTTAAAAGCCCCCACCTCCAAACGTGAAACCAAACCAACCCACCAACCCCCCCCCCCCCACTGCAATCTCCCAAACTCTAGCAATAAGAATAGCAGCAACCATTTGCTCTCCAGCCCAGAAGATATGTAATACTGACATAAGCACTTAAAAGCCCCCACCTCCAAACGTGAAACCAACCACCCCCCCACCCCCCCCCCCACTAGTGTAATCTCCACATCAGGCATAGCCTGAGTCATTATCTCCAAACAACAGAATATAGAATAATCTCAGTACAGATAAATTAAAAACTTGTATGTAAATATTTTATTCTCTCATATTTTGCAAATCAGAAAGCAGTGTTTGGTAATAAAAAATAATACAGAATTATTATTTTTCTTCCAGTCCACACTCATATATTACCAGGTTTTCCACATTACAGATAAAACTGTCTCTTACAGTCTAAAGATAACATTCACTTTAGGTATATTCTGTACTTTTGGCTTTTTTAATATTAGTCTTCTGAACTATTTACAAATATATTACAACCTTTAAACCTCAAAGCAAAGGAGTATTTCAATAATCAATCTGACATAAGGATCAGTAGCTCCTACATAACTTCAGTGTTTAAGAGAAACTATACACGCAGTGCGGTAGGTCTGAATAATTTATATCTTTAAAAAAAAAGAAAAGCATTGAAAGTTTCCGAGTATAAAACTTTCGCATTGCAGTGGTACCTACTGACCCACCTCAACGGGAGGACAGGAATGTGAGGTGATGTCACTGTGCTTGTGGAGAGCCTCGTCTAAGTCCAGTGCCTTGCTGCTCAGCTTGACGGTCATGCAGCCGTGGTAGGATGCGGTGACCGGAGTGGAAGTCACAGGAACATCTGTGTGAAAGGGGAGACAAACATCTCTGATGGCTGGTTTTGAATAAATACCTGCCCTACCTATGCTCAGATGAGCATCACTTCAATGAATTCAAACTCTCCTCTACTCTGTGATTTCTACCT